ATACTGACATACGGACCGATAGGCCGCCGTCCACCGCCGCTTCCATGACCCCGCCGCCATCCAGATGTGTACCCTGATGAACATCAAGACCGGTGGCTGCAGCGAAGACTGTTCGTACTGCGCGCAGTCCTCCCGGTACAGCACCGGCCTCAAAGCCACCAAGATGAGCCCCGTCGACGACGTGCTCAAGGCCGCCCGCATCGCCAAGGAGAATGGCAGCACCCGATTCTGCATGGGCGCCGCCTGGCGCGACATGCGCGGACGCAAGACAAGCCTCAAAAACGTCAAGGAGATGGTCTCGGGCGTGCGCGCCATGGGCATGGAGGTCTGCGTGACCCTGGGCATGATTGACGAGAACCAGGCCAAGGAGCTCAAGGACGCCGGCCTGACCGCCTACAACCACAACCTGGACACCTCGCGCGAGTTCTACCCCTCCATCATCACCACCCGCTCCTACGACGAGCGCCTGCAGACCCTGTCGCACGTCCGCGACGCCGGCATCAACGTCTGCTCCGGCGGCATCCTGGGCCTCGGCGAGGCCGACTCCGACCGCATCGGCCTCATCCACACCGTCGCGAACCTTCCCTCGCACCCCGAATCGTTCCCCGTCAACGCTCTCGTTCCCATCAAGGGCACCCCGCTCGGCGACCGGAAGATGATCCCCTTTGACAAGCTGCTGCGCACCATTGCGACCGCTCGTATCGTCCTGCCGGCGACCATCGTCCGTCTCGCGGCGGGCCGCATCTCGCTGTCGGAGGAACAGCAGGTCGCCTGCTTCATGGCCGGTGCCAACGCCGTCTTCACCGGTGAGAAGATGTTGACGACGGACTGCAACGGCTGGGACGAGGACCGCGAGATGTTTGAGCGCTGGGGATTCTATCCCATGCGTAGCTTTGAAAAGGAGGGGTCCACGCAACCTGCCGTCGAGGCGGCCCCTGCCCCTGCTGCCCACGATAGTGTATCTGCTGCGCCGGCCGCAGCTAGCTCGTAGACACCTAGTATCATGAATGATCAATGATATCAAGCCTGTATATCTTTTTTTTCGCACTGTATCCAAAAATAGTTCATTCGCCATACCAAGATCATTCTGGTTTACGGCTGACTCAACTCCAAAACACAAATCGGTAAATCATGAATCATTGTTCATACTGGAGCACCTTTCCAGTCCAGACATGCCATACTCAAGAAACAACATCAAAAGAAATGAAAGCAATCAGCCACCTGCTAGTCGCATACATTCCAAAGCCCTAATCCGTTCTTTACACCTCTCATTCACCTTTTTATCACACCAAAACACTTTCAGCCCTTCAAAAAACATTTCCTTGCGGTGCGTACACCAATCATTCATAGAAAACGGGAACAAATGGCATGACTCGGAGATCTCCCTGGTGCATTTTGTAAGAATGCAGGCTTTGTCGCGGAGCTTACACTAGGATACCACAAGGTTAGCGCTAAGGCAGTTGCAATAGATTCCAGCGGGAAGGCATCGCTTACTGCTTTCTCAACGTCTTCGCCTATTCTAGGCTTCTTCGCCCCTTCAGGCGTGCCCAGAGGTTCCCCTGGTCTTTTCCGCGACTCACCAGGACTTCCTGATGTTTCGAGCGACAGGCGTTGGCGTTGTGGAGTTGACGTGGGAGGCTCAGATTTCGAAACGCCCGGGCTCGGCTCACATACATTCGAAAGCCCTATCCGTTCGTTCTTCCTAACCCTTGTTCAAGTAACCCATCACGTCCCTAGATTTCCGGTCGCGTTTCGGCGCGAGCACTATGCACAGAGGATCGACTTTTTGGCGTCGAACACACAGTCGATAGCAAATGGAATCCCACCGTGAGGATCAATGTTCGCAGATGTACGCAGGCAATGCATACACCAATGGAGCTGAGGGTGCTTTTTCCACCCAAATGCTGACTGTCATTACAATAGATGGTTTCCATACATGACACCTTTCTTGTCTAGTTGCCTCTACCTTGAAACAAAAGTATGGATCTGTAGAAGTCATCGAAAGATATCCGCCAGCGGGCGACTCTTGTCCCCATTCTCTCTCTAGGTAACTTCAGCTAGATAAAGGGTTCACAAGAGGTCCTCCGGTAATTGAAGTGGGGGTAACGATTACTTCCTGATGGCAGAAGGCGGTTTGGCGTATGGATATTGACCGATCTCAGATCGTCACAAACTGGTATCCGATGTTGCGGCCAGTCTTTGCCAATGGTCCGTGAGTACTGTACGGCTTGTAGGTAGTCACCATCCAACACTCGAGGCTGCTCTGCGGTCGATTGGTTCTGAAAATCAGGCGGGTCGCCATGGCACACGCACACCGTTTTGCTGCTTGCTGCCTTGGCAGCCTTTCTTCTGTTGATTGGTGATGTCTGAGATCGGGATTCTGTGGCTGATGGCCCAAGGAATGGAAGAAAAGAGATTATTGTTTCTCTTCTGCCTGTCTTTGCTGCTTCTCTTTGGATAGGGGTAATGATATGGCATGTGTCACATTGTGCTATTCCGTATATTGCCTTCAAGCATTAAGCTGAAGATTCTCCACTATTCCTGCAGCCGTATTGTTCATCTTAAAAGAAGTAAAAGGCGGTGGTAATGGTGATTGTGATGGTGATGATTGTGATGGTGATGATTGTGATGGTGATGATTGTGATGGTGATGATTGTGATGGTAATGGTGATGGCCAGAGACATATTCGAGATATATTCCAATATGTCATATCTGCACGTATTAGCTTCCTCCAGTCTTACAATAAGGAGGGTCTTGGAACTGAACGTACCAGACTCAAAATATGGAGAAGACCACCAAGCACAGGTGGTAGGGCAGTGCCAACAACCATTCCCTTCTTTGAAGATATAATGTCCTTTGAGAGTATGATGATACCTCTTTCGGATATGGCTTTCGATCGAAGCTGAAACACCAAGTTCCTTGTATCCGTTTTCTAAGACATATTCTCAAAGAGACTTGATTTTGATGATGATGACAATAGCGTTGGATAGTCAGTGGAAGAGCAGTTGAAGGAGAGGGCATGAAGATAAGACACTACAACTGATATAATACATCCACTGATTCATAGGCCTGGCCAGGGTGAATACATGCGTAGATGTATTCACTAGGACCTAGAAGTAAGACATTACCCCAGATATACTGCATTCGCAGGCTCATATGGGTGAAACAGTGAATAGTTACTTAGATATATTCACTTCATACTATCGGGACAGCAGAGTCTGCTTGAGAAAATGTCTTTCAGCTCTGCCTGCTTGCTTCTTCCTCTTCAAACTCTCTTGGTGGCTGCCAGTCGATATATCAGGATATCGATGACTTTACCAGCTACAACTGACAGACTCGATATCTCTTTTATGAAAGAAATGGAACCAATTGTGGTCTTCATTGCTCCTGCTATACTAGACTATTACAGTACTCTTATAGCGGACAAATGATCTGTGTAGAATCCACAACGCCAATTCCACCCACCCGGAAGCTTCCTTCCTTCCGTCCCTCACACCCAACTCGTCGAACTGCTGAGACGGGTGTGTCCCAAGATATCGGGGATGGCGCTCCGGTTGGCCATCATCTGGGCAGAGGCAGAGGCAGAGGCAGAGGCAGAGGCAGAGGCAGAGGCTGCTACACTGATCGAGAAGCCGCTGAGGGAACCATGCAGATACTCAGGGAGCTCCGTAACTCCACTACGGACGAGATCGATCGGATGACACGCCCACCTTCCTGACTCAGGCTTAATATTTTGCCCGAGGATTCAAGTACACGGAATGCACTTTTGTTGACTCGATCAGAAGCATCTCTGGCTGTTCGGCCACAAAGACTTGGTTCAAGTTTTCGACGATCCAGCATGTCTTTGGATGATAAGATTGTCACATTTCCGCGCGGCGTGGATGCTGGACTTCCTTGAAGTATTATTCTGACGTGAAGAAGATCCCATCGTATATCCAAGGATTATACGATGGCGTACACATTCCCCGTTCTCGCATCTTCGTTACGGGACAGACGCCGAAAATGCTGATATCATTTGTCCTGATATTGCTGATCAGTCAGCTGTCAAATGCGATTACGATACGCAATTACGAAAGGCCTGGCTGTGGTGGTCATTTTGCCATATGCAGAAACGTTCGTCCCTACGCCTGCTGCGACAGTAGGCGAGGAAGATCATACAGGACTAGTCACAAGAAAAGGGATCGGGTTCTGTGGCTTCTACAGGCCCTTTTCTGGTTCGACACTGAACTTCTTGCCTTCCTGCAGGGTCAGAGAATGGAAGAGTGTACCTCCAGTCTCAGTAACTTTATCAGCAAATACGGAGACGCGGAGTCTAGACACTGTCATAACATCGAAGCAAATGGTGTTGTTCTTGAGTCGTCGTATCATTTATATGAAGCAAGAAGATCTGAAATCACTGCGTCTGATTGGGTGGGTCAGATCTCTGCATACCTGGAGATGTGGGAGATGAATAGGGAAAGACTGCTTTGAGAGGATCACGAATTGTTCTGGAGGCCGAGGTACAAGAAGAGATCAAGATTCTCTTAGGCGAAGATAGGAACAAGGCGTGGGAATGGATCGCCGATTGGAGAATGGCCGCCTGTTTATCCATTCAGCTCAGCTACACGCTTTTCATAAGATAGATAGGACTAGATTTGCAGATCGAGCAAGCTGCTTATTGATAGGTTTCTGAAGAAGGGCCGTTGCGTACTCATGATCCTGCTCAGGTGGTTATAATCAAGCTTAAGGTTGCTGCGGCGGTGTTTTATATGATCCATCAATACAGTGAACTCTTTCGGGGATGTTTCTAGGTAGCAGGAACACTCTGCTCAGTGTGCCTGAGACTCTCAGTAAAGGATGGGATGCACGGTGACTCCTGAGAGCTTGGTGGATATGTTCAACAAAGTAATCATGATTGCGTAGCATGTTGTTCATTAAAGGATTCTAGTAAAATTAAGTAGCTAATATGGTCCCTATAAAGTAAATAGACAGACACCAAAACTCCCCGCAGAATGATGAAATTAGGATGACCAGGCTGCTCGACACTTCGGGCAGGACGGGCAGACAGTATTCCCACTTGGGGTTCGAAATGTACTCTGAGTAGCAAGCCACACGTCGATACAGGCTTTGTGGTAATTAGTGCCGCACTCGTTTTTGCAATATACAATGTCGTCAAGGTCAAGGCCGTCTTCTTCGGAGCCATCGTGCTCGTTGTCGGACTCTGTGTCGGACCCTGTGCCCGCCACATCGTTATCATTTTCATCATCGCTGTCTTCTGATTCTTCGGCGTCTTCATCACTGTCTTGTTCTCGTAGAGGACACATGCAGATGCCACAGTCTCCTTCAATTGGCTTTCGAGTGGTCCTTCTGGGCTCACTCTGAGGCACGGTTGGCTCTGCCACATGAGTCTCAACGGCTGGCGACGAAGACTCTGCAGATGGCCGGCTGGCAGAAGGTTCAGGTTCAAGTTCAGGTCCAGGCTCGTCCTCCCTGTCTCGCTCTTCTTCTTCTTCCTCCTCTTCTTCTATTTCAACAACAGCCGACCTGTCCGAGACACGCTGCTCGCCCGCTGATCCAGCAGCAAGCGGACGTGCGCGACTCTCCGCATACTCCCGGAGCGATTTCAGCACAGCAGCTAGAAGACTCTGCTCCTTGAACGCCCGCAGCTTAGCCCGCCAGTTGCTGACCAGGCTGTCAGCCTGGTTTTGGTGGAAGCGTGTGCAGAGGACTAGCGGGGCTAGCTCGATGAGCAGACTGTCGACGGATAGGCCGCGCTGTAGGAGTCTCGTGCCCTCGTTGAGCAGGCGGGCAGCCTTGTCTCGGTTGTCCTTCCTTGTTGGCAGCCTGCAGCGGCGCCGTTTGGATGGGGCGTACCCGTAGCAGTGGCTTTCACATTGGGGGTAGACTTCGAGAATGGTAGATAGATCGGGGTAGGAGTAGGACATTGTGCTGCTAGAAAAGATGATTACGAGGATTTAAGGTGAGATGTCAGTTGATTTAGAGTGTCCTCTGTTGATCTGAAAACAAGAACGACACAGATATCTCGGGCCTTATATGCCATTCTCTCCCATACACCTTCAACAACCAACAGACACTATCCAGCTTCACGATCATGACGACACAGCCACTGGCAACTGCTAGAACTGCACTGACTGTGCCACAGCACGCTACGTGTCTGAAAATATCCAAAACCAAGGATCATTAACCTCAAGGGGAAAGGCACCAAGGCATCCAAATTTGAAACCCTGCTTGCTGATATCAACAGCCAATTGCACTGGCCTGGTGCAGCCACATCGCTCATCTTAGGCCACGCCAGTTCACTGATAATTCAGGCATCGACATTCTTGGGCGCTTGCGCAGTTAGCCTTGTGCCAACACTTCGAGGAAGATAGTGGCTTGTATGGTTACATCTGGCAGACGCTCCATTCCACAATCGAGCGAAGTGTGACACACCTGCCAGGGCGAGAAGTGCGCTATCTGCAGGTCACGACTCGCGTGACTGTACTAAGATAGTGTTGGTTACTAACGCCAGTGACCACAAGTGCCCCAAGTCCGGCGCTTAGCAGGGATCTAAGGTCCTTACCCCAGTCTAGCCCAGTTTAGCCCAGTTGCGGATTGATCATTTGGCTGTGGGGCTTGGGCTTGGGCTTGGGCTTGGGCCTGGATGCTCGAAATAGCTCCAGTACCCTCCCTTGAGGCGGTGCATTGTCCAGGGTATCAAGGCCGTAATGGGAAACCGCGTGGGTTCGAATCCCACTCTGGGCGTGGCAGGCATTCCGATGGTTAACCAACTCAGAGGCCGGATCAAACTGTGCTGATTATCTATGCCGAATAGGCTATGTACCTCCGTCTGTCGGATTGCAAGTATGAGTCTTTTTTCCCTTTAGTTTTTACCCACTGTAGCTTCTCTTGAATATGGTGGACATGATAATAGGCCCAGGCATGCTGGCCTGTTTCAAGTGAAAAGGGATAATAAGGTGCTTAGTTCTCTCAGTCACGCCATATCAATATCATCATCAGTGGCTTTCGTAGTCAGCTTCTGCTTTACTCATATAACCGCCAGAGAGGGCAGGGTTCTGTCGACTATAGGATACCCTCGACGCATGACCGAGAGGTGGATATCGCTAACGAGCCTACGCACGATCCCAATCTTCAATTTTCACTCCAAGCTTGGAGAAAAGTCCGGATCTTCCTCGCGATTTGCTTCCGGTCAAGACAGCTTTCTAACACAACATCTCCTCCTTTCTGATATTATCCGTATTCCCTTGAAACTGTTGCGACTCGCCTGCGACAGGTGCTGATCAGTATTTCCCCACTGCTACCTCAAAGGCCTAAGGATATTGACCGGATCAACCTCTATAATTCTCGAAGAGTGTGCTTGGCTTCTATTTGAGGCGGACGGTCAGTGCTGCGATGACTGCGATAGGAGGACGCTAATATTAACGGGAGGAAGCGCTGATCCACTTGCCGGAAAATCAGGGGCTATCTGTTAGGTATTGCTTGGTTTGCTGCCGCTCATCTGTATATAGCTGGTCTCAGATACTATCAGGAATATCGCCAATGGTCTCTATGACACCCCTTGCTCTATAATATTGACAATGGGCCGCATGTGGTGCGTTCTTAATTTGTAAATAGGCCAGCTGCACCGGTGGAACAAATATGGTCACTCCATACTCGACACAAGCTGGAAGCCCAATCGCAAACCAGCTCTGTCAGACTCTGGTTCCATGGGTGGAACGGATCCTGCACTCGGCCGGTGCCAGGCAAAGGTCAGACCTACCCCAGAGATCATAAGATCATAAGATCTTTAGAGGCTACCTGGTCATTTAGCCATATACCGATGACACCATTATTACCATCGTTGATTTTCAACCTGATGCCAAGATCGGCAACGTCCGCCCTGCATCCCCCGCGATCCATGTCGGCCCAAATAGTTCAAGCTAGAGTCTAGGCTAAGGCTAGTCTTCCGTACAATAGCCTCTGGCTATTGTAAAGGGTTTAAATCTCCACATCCACTCTGGCAGAGGCATGACATACCAGTCAGGGTATAGAATGCCATGTTTCCCAGAGTGGCCAGTTAATTACAGTCTTTGGAATACATGGGTAGGGTAATGCTAGCATTCCGTAACAATTCTGATTCTGGCGAATTGAACGACAGTACTTGCCTGGGACGCATTATCATTCGAAAATGAGGGCTCAGTATGTTGTTGTACAAGGCCGAGAAATTCAACGACGTGCCGACGCGCAGGCCATTCCTTTCGAAAGAAAACGGGGTTATAGCCATTCAGGTTTCCATTCATCCAATGGGCTGGGAGGGGTCTAAACATTCCTCGGCTCCGAGCCTCTGATCAGCTGTGCAAAGGCGTCATTGACTTTATTGTCTTGACTTTATCGCCATGATCCATGGATCTGATGTTTCGACGTCATGCCAACCTCCGCTCCTCGTGTTTTGACGTCTAGTTGAGATCGCGAGGCCTTTTAGTCTGCACCAAGGATCTCCGCACAATGTTAAGCAACAAATTGTATCTTCCATACTTGTGCCGGGTATCAGCACACAGTGACAATAGTCAGCCAGGTTGAGCTCTTGTCGTCTAATGCGAAGAATACTAAAGACGGCGAGATGACTACTGAAGGCGAAAAGTTGAGACTGGTCATCATTGGTGGCGCGCGGGGGGGAATGTCAGCAGCAGTTCGGGCACGGCGGCTGGATGAGAACGCGTCAATCGTCGTTATCGAACGAGCCTCCTACATCAGTTACACAAATTCGTTTGTGCCTTTCAGCTTGGGCGGTGTCATTGAAAGGGATACGCTGATCGCAATGCAAACCCCCGCAGGGCTCAGTGCTCGATTCAACCTGGACGTGCGGGTTTGTACCGAGCTTGTCAGTATCTCAAGGGAGCATCATTCGGTTACCGTGAGATGTCGGAAGACCGACACCACCTATGATTTACCGTACGATAAGATGATCCTTGCGCAAGGCGCAGATCCCGCGGTTCCCCCTATTGCAGGTATAAGAAAAGCCAATGTGTTCCCGTTGCAGACCCTCGCTGATCTGCAGACCATCCGATCCTTTGTGGTGCAAAATGACTGCCGTGAAGTAGTCATCCTGGGCGGGGCGTTCGCGGGCCTCAAAGCCGTGGAAAGTCTGTACAGCTTCGGCCTACGTGTCAGCGTGGTTGAGGCTGGTGACCGCCTCTGTCCGGAATTTGACCCGGATTTTGCCAATATCATTCAGAAAGAGCTCACGAAGAAGGGAGTCCAGATCTATCTCGGGTCGGAGTGTCAAATGATCGCAGAAGCAGATACCAGCGACCGGTGCTTCGTGGAGTTATGCGATGGCTCTAGCCTCTCCGCGGACCTGGTAGTCGTAGCCACTGAACCCGAGCCTCGAGTCCGGCATGCTAAGAACGCAGGCCTTGCGGTCCGGAAAGGGATTGTGGTCAATGCATTCATGCAGACAAGTGATCGTGACATATATGCGGTCGGCGGTGTGGCGGAGGTTATGAACAGTATCTCCCATATGCCTCAGGTGTCGTCCATGAGCGGGCCCTTGAATCGTCAGGGTCGCCTCGCAGCGGATCACATCTTCAAACGAGCTACGGCTTACCCTGGCACCTGTGGCACCCGTGTCTACCACGTCTTCCACTTGACAGGGGCTATCACTGGGCTCTCAGTGTCCGACCTCAAGCAGATTGGGTACGACCCTCAATCTGTGACCATCCACCAGCCGGACCATGCTGGATACTTCCCATCGTCTCAGCAGCTGACGTTAAGAGTGGCCTTTGAACCAGCGAGTGGCGTCTTGCTGGGCGCTCAGATTGTTGGACATTCTGGCGTGGACGGCCGCATCGATGTGCTAGCGACAGCCATTCAGGCCGGGATGACCGTGTTCGATTTGGAGCCTCTCGAACTCTCCCACATGCCACAGTACGGCTCAGTGAAGGATCCAGTCAATCTGGCCGGCTCGGTGGGAAGCAACCTGATACGTGGGGACCTCCATACAGTCCATCCTCAAAACCTCCATGGCCATCTCCATGAATGGCAGGTTATTGATGTGCGGTCCGCAGAGCATTTTGCACAAGGCCATCTACCACTCGCTCGAAACATTCCGATCGACTCGCTAAGGTCAAAATTGGATGAGATTGAAAAGGAACGCCCCGTACTGATCTGCTCTAGAGTAGGCTATCATGGATACCTGGTCTATCGAATCCTAGTGCAGTCCGGCTATCGGGCTGCGAATCTCGACGGCGGATTGAAGTTGTTTACAGATGGTGGATATCAGCCAGAATTAGTAGTAGACGCGCCAGAATGAGGGGCTCAATCGTGATTGATCTAGTGGTTCTATATGCTTTTATTTCCTGGCATTAAATTTAGGACTGGACAATTGAAACTACCGAATTTCGCCTCCAAGGCATGATCTCCCATGGGAACCACCAACAGATCTGACAAAATCAAAACCCAAATTAACAGCCTACAGAAGCTGAGGTCTAAGGGTTTGTCTCAGTGTCTCACCCCCGCCCAGCCATTAACCAGCTGGCGCATAGCTTAATCGAGACAATCACAGTGGGGGCCCAACAGCACTTACAATCGCGGGCTTCCGACCATGGATACAGACAGCAGACTAATCTAGACTGTTCAGGCCAATCCTCTCACATTTAAGCTTCACCACATTGTTAAGCTTAATAAGGGCATTATGGTTCGTGAGTTCGCTGAATGCGGAAGTACTTCGGCAGTTTTGGTACCAAGTGTGTTCTGACTAGATCTCATGATCAGACTTTGCCATCTAAAACTTCAGATTATATCATGGACGTATGTTGACCATTTGATCCTTCTTTGTCTGCTTTGCTCTACCATTCATATAGTTATACTGAGAGATTCGACCTGATCACCGAGCGGACAGATCTCTAGACGCCCACACCAGATATTGGTGAACATAGCATTCAAT